ATTTTTAAAATTAATAATTTTAATGTAGTTATCTAAATTTTTTATGTGATGATTTTAATTAATTGATATTAGCGAATCATTTAATTTGATTTATTATAGTAAAAATCATAAAAATAAATGTTAAAATAATATTAATTGTTTTAAATTATAAGAAAATAAATAATAAAAATAGAAAAGAAAGTATTCTATAAAATAAAACTAATTATTATAAAGATAAGATAGAATATGGGAGGAAATGAGGATGATAATATAGTAAAAATGATAGAGTTTAAAAACAATGTAGAATGTGAGAAGTTTAAAAAGAAAAAAAAAGTTAGAAAATGATATATATATATATATATATATATATATATATATATATATATAAATGTAATTGGATTAAATTTATTATCCCCTCATATATTATTATACATTATTAGCGTAATTTTAGTTTAATTAAAAATTAGAATACAAATATACTATACTATACTAATATACCATTATATTATTTTCATTGTATACAAATTACAAAACTAATAATTTAAAAAAAATTAATGATAATTTTTTTAACATATATATTACAAAATATTTTTTAATACTTTAATAAATATAACTTTTTTAAAATATTTTCATTAATTTAAAGTATAACTTTTAATATTTTTTAATATTGTTTTAAATGTGGATATCTTTAATATTTTGGACATATAAATATAATTTATACATGTTTTTAAACCTTTTTCTAATATTTGTTTTTAAAAATATAATATCATTTTTAATATTTTATATTTATATATTTATAAAAGTAATTGGATTAAATTTATTATCCCCTCATATATTATTATACATTTAGCGTAATTTTAGTTTAATTAAAAATTAGAATACAAATATACTATACTATACTAATATACCATTATATTATTTTCATTGTATATAAATTACAAAATTAATAATTTGTATACTATACTATACTAACGTATTATTTGTATACTATACTAATAGTATAATATACTATATTATAATATTATTTGTATACAAAACTAATATCTTTATATATAAATATATAAATATGGAAAGATATAAATATATGTAAAAATATAAAGATATAAATATATGTAAAATATAAAGATATAAATATATAAAGATATAAAGATATAAATATGTAAAGACATAAACATATATCTTTAATATTTTGTACATGTGAAAATAATTTATATATATTTTTAAACATTTTCTAATATTTGTTTTTTAAAAATAAATATTATTTTAAAATTTAATATTTAAATTTTTAATTTTTTCTTAAATATATAAATATATATAGATATAAATATATAAAAATATAAATAAATATATAAATATATAAATATATAAATATATAAATATATAAATATGTAAATATATAAATATGTAAATATATAAATATATAAATATATAAATATATTAATATATTAATATATAAATATATAAATATATAAATATGTAAATATATAAATATGTAAATATATAAATATATAAATATATCAATATATCAATATTTAAATATATATTAAAATATATAAATATATTTGTATTTATAGATTTTATAAATATATAAAGATATAAATATATAAAGATATATATATATATATATATATATATATATATATATATATATATATAAAGATATAAATATATAAATATATGTAAAGATATAAAGATATAAATATATGTAAAGATATAAAATATAAAGATATAAATATATAAATATGTTAAGATATAAATATATATCTTTAATATTTTTTACATGTAAATATAATTTATATATATTTTCAAATCTTTTTCTAATATTTATTTTTAAAAATATAATATTATTTTTAAAATTTAATTTTTTTTTAAATATATAAATATATAAATATATAAAGATATAAATGTATAAGAATATAAATAAATATATAAATATATAAATATATAAATATATCAATATATTAATATATAAATATATCAATATATAAATATATAAATATATAAATATATATATATATATATATATATATATATATATCAATATTATCCCATCATATATTATTATACATTATTAACGTAATTTTAGTTTAATTAAAAATTAGAATACAAATATATTATATTATATTAATATATCATTATATTATAATATTTGTAATTTATTTTTATTGTGTATAAATTACAAAACTAATAATTTTTAAAAAATTTAATGATAATTTTTTTAACTTATATATTACAAAATATTTTTTAATACTTTAATAAATATAACTTTTTTAAAATATTTTCATCAATTTAAAGTATAATTTTTAATATTTTTTTGTATTTTTTTAAATGTGGATATCTTTAATATTTTGGACATATAAATATAATTTATATATGTTTTAATCCTTTTTCTAATATTTGTTTTTAAAAATATAATATCACTTTTAATATTTTATAGATTTTATATTTATATATAGATAAAAGTAATTGGATTAAATTTATTATCCCCTCATATATTATTATACATTATTAGCGTAATTTTAGTTTAATGAAAAATTAAAATATATAAATATATTTGTATTTATAGATTTTATAAATATATAAAGATATATATATATATATATATATATATATATATATAAATATATAAAGATATAAATATATGTAAAGATATAAAGATATAAAATATAAAGATATAAAGATATAAATATGTAAAGATATAAATATATATCTTTAATATTTTGTACATGTAAATATAATTTATATATATTTTCAACTCTTTTTCTAATATTTGTATACTATACTAATATATTATTTATACTATACTAATATATTATTTATACTATACTAATATATTATTTGTATACTATACTAATAGTATAATATACTATATTAAACTAATATCTTTATATCTTTATATATAAATATATAAATATGGAAAGATATAAATATATGTAAAAATATAAAGATATAAATATATGTAAAAATATAAAGATATAAATATATAAATATGTAAAGATATAAATATATATCTTTTATATTTTGTACATGTAAATATAATTTATATATATTTTTAAACCTTTTTCTAATATTATTTTTTAAAAATAAAATATTATTTTAAAATTTAATATTTAAATATATAAATATATAAAGATATAAAGATATAAATATATAAAGATATAAATAAATATATAAATATATAAATATATTAATATATAAATATATAAATATGTAAATATATAAATATATAAATATGTAAATATATAAATATATGAATATATAAATATATAAATATGTAAATATATAAATATATAAATATATCAATATATAATATTGAAATATATATTAAAATATATAAATATATTTGTATTTATAGATTTTATAAATATATATATATATATATATATATATATATATATATATATATATATATATATATATATATAAGGATATAAATATATGTAAAGATACAAAGATATAAATATATTAAAGATATAAAGATATAAAATATAAAGATATAAATATGTAAAGATATAAATATATATCTTTAATATTTTGTACATGTAAATATAATTTATATATATTTTTAAATCTTTTTCTAATATTTATTTTTAAAAATATAATATTATTTTTAAAATTTAATATTAATTTTTTTTCAAATATATAAATATATAAAGATATAAATGTATAAGGATATAAATAAATATATCAAAATATATATATATATATATATATATATATATATATATGTATAAATATATCAATATATCAATATTATCCCTTCATATATTAATATACATTATTAGCATAATTTTAATTTAATTAAAAATTAGAATACAAATATACTATACTATACTAATATACCATTATATTATTTTCATTGTATATAAATTACAAAATTAATAATTTGTATACTATACTATACTAATATATAATTTGTATACTATACTAATAGTATAATATACTATATTATAATATTATTTGTATACAAAACTAATATCTTTATATCTTTATATATAAATATATAAATATGGAAATATATAAATATATGTAAAAATATAAAGATATAAATATATAAAAATATAAATATATGTAAAAATATAAAGATTTATATATATCAATATATAAATATATAAATATATCAATATTTAAATATATATTAAAATATATAAATATATTTTTATTTATAGATTTTATATTTATATATTTATACATATATACATTTATTTGTATATAAATATAATTTATTTGTAAGTTATTATTAAAAGATCCTAGTAGCTCGAGTGGTTGGAGTTTTAGCCTCTAACTCTAAGGTACTAGGTTTAAATCCTGACAATGACAATAAATCTAGTATTAAGTTAAACCTCTAAAAAATATAATATACAAAGAGGTAGGAAAAATAAATATAATTATAAATGTGATTTTTTTTTAAGTTACGAAATAAGATAATATATTTTTATGTGATTCAAATTTTGTCTGAACCCAAAAATAATCGATGGACTGAATTATCTGTCATTAAAATATATGTGTAAGTCTTTGTGGTAAGATAAAACAAACTCAATATTAAAAAAAAAAATTTACGTTGAATTAAATTATAATAAATTATAAATTTATGATGGATCTGATCTTATTCCATACAAATATATATATTTATTGTAGTATGATTCAACGTAAATTTTATCTTATTTTTTGAATTGTTTTTAGAAACTCTTTTATATTTGTGTCGTATTTTGTCCGACATAAATGGACGTATCTATCGTAAACATAATTCTTCTGTATTAACGACTATGATAAATATAACCCACCTAAAAAAAAGAAGCTAATTTTCCACTGGTGACATTATTATATACCCAATAAAATTATAGGTGACCAATTATAATTGCATGTATGCATAATCCTCATAACACATCAAAATAAATATTTTCATATTCGTTTATTAATCTCTTCACAAGAGCTCAAATAAATATATAGTCACTTTTTAAAATTAAGATAAATGCCATAAAAAAAGTTTGCACACTTTTTTGTGGGGTATCATGATTGATCTACACATGATGGTTATGGCCATTTCCTTGTTTAGGTCTTCCCCAAGATTGCCAACACCAATCATGCTTAGTCCATTGAGGATTCATAGTGGAATTAGCATCCAACTTTCTAAATCTCTTCCAATCACTAAGGGCAACCTTCAAATCTAAGACCTTTGCATGGATGCTCCTACAACAATTGGCATGGACAGTGGTGACTGCCCTAAAATCCTTGCTATCTTCACAAAACCCACTGAAATAAAGGGTGTCCAAAAACCTAACCCTAAGTCCCAAGTGTTCAATTATGCCACCATTAATGAGGTCAACAAGCACATCTTGCTCTTTTTTTCCTTTGGATTTGTCCTTTTGATCATACCATGTTTCAAACAAGGAGATAGTTTTGTTGTTTGACCTGGCAAAGTAAAATCCAGTGTTGATTTGGTTTCTCTTTGACCAAGGATCACCATGGTACACGTCTGTGCTGATTTGAAGATCTTCTGTCTCATTTTTGCTTAATCTTGTAAATGGATTTCTTAGCCACATTACATCAGTGTCCTGTGAAAAATATGTTAATTACAAGTAAATTAAAGTCATTGAGTTGTTTATAAGAATTGTTTAGTAATCAAAATAAATATTTTATTATGAATTATAGTTATTTAAAATCTGGTCAAAATTATTTATATAATTTTTTTTAATTTTAAATAATTATTTTTTCAATTCTATAACGCATAATAAAATATTTTTTTCTAAACAATCCTCGTTAACAAATAATAATAATAATAATTTGAGAAGTAAAAAAAATAATAATGATACCTTTTGCGTTACTAGCATATAATATAAACAATTGTCATACAATTTAAGAACTAGAATGTTTGTTTGTTAGGTAATCATATATGGGTTCATAAAATAAAGACAATTATTGTCAAATCCTCCATCTATTGATATATATAATCTCTAAGGTTGAAATACCTATACTAATTAAGATCGACATTAATTTTTATTATTTTTAATAAATTTGTTTTTTTTTCATCAATATCTTTATATTATCTTAATATATTCGCTTTATATACAATCGTTCTTAATATTTTATTATCTTTTTTTTTAATAAATATACTTAAAAAACAATTGTATAATTAATTATTACAATCATAAAATTTACAAACATCATATATTTATTTACAAACAATTTTTTTCCAACAAAACGTGATATAATTTTAGTGCTGGTTAATCAATAATAGTAGAAAATCCAAGTTCAGAATTAAGTTAGGGTGGAAGTATAACTTTCAGATTTTAAAAGTTTGAATTTAGAAACATGTCATTTAAGATATTAAAAGTAATGCAATTTTAAATGGGAAATTATGTATTTATTTAAATGTTAATGCTCGAAGTTCTAACAATTTAGATTGTTTTTTTTTCTTGTGAATAAAAATGCAAATGAAAATAAGTAAGGAAAAATGTTTCTGACGAAATTTAAGAACACATAAGAGAGTTGGGTTTTATAAAGAAAAGAAAAGGAAAGTAAACTTTTTGTTCATAAAAATTATCTCTAACTGAATAACTTTTAAACATAAGAAATTAATATAATTTAAAGTTTTGCCTTTTATTTTATTTTATAAAAATTATAAAAATATGTGGTACTTAAAAAAAAAAAATTAAACTCCCAAAGTATTTCTTTATCAAACCACAAATCTTAAGCACTAAGCTTTTGACTTTCTCTTTCAACTGTAGTAGTCATGACTAATTATTTAATTAAGCTAAGAAACTTTATTAAATTATTAAAGCACATGATTGTCTTCTTAATACCTTACTCTCACATGATACTAAATAACTGAAATAAAGAACGTAGCATGAATTAGTGCTTCAACCTCAAGGCACACAACTTTCTAAGTAAAGTTTGACATGAAGTCCATAATGCAATTCAAAACCTATTTTTTTTATAAATGTGGCCATGTTCAAAGTTTCAAAGGTTTATAATTTTTTTAAACAATATATGATTAGTTATATGGGAAAAGCTTAGTTATTTTAAAGTTACAAGTAATTTTAATATTTCTCTGGGTCATATTATATATTTTAAGAGTAATTATATACTATTTACATAGTTTTTTTTTAAATGTATACATGTACATGCACGGTTCACTTTTCCTACTTTTTGTTTTTATCTTAAGATTAACGTTATGTTCTCTAATAATTGTTTGTTCTACTAATATCTTAAAAAATATGATGAAATCATATTTTCTGAAGAAAGTAAGAGAATGAATAATATTAAACAAAAAAAAATATTTTTAAACTTCAACTATAATTACGTAGCAAGAGTTTCTTACGAAAATGTTACGTGCACCAAAACTTTAGTTATACGAAAAGGTGTGACCCTATCTATCTCAAAATTTATGAAAAAATAAAATAAAATTATTCATGACATGTGAGGGTGTAGCACAAGAATATTATTCAACTTTCATATACGTTTCCATTTATGTTTATATTATTAAGGTAGTATTTGACTTAATTCTTACTTATTTTTTCATTTAAAAGAAAAAAAATTGGATAAAAAGAAGAGTAAGGGGGAGAAAAAAAAATCAATTTAAATTAAATTTCTCTTATAAACACTATTTATTTTAAAAATATTGGTAGATTATGAAAGAAATGAAATATAAATGATAAAGCTTAAAAGAGAATAGCAGAAACTTTAGAGCATTAATTCTAATTCAATTCTACATGCACATAACCAGAATCAATAAAAGGAAAAAAGATTGAAGAAGAGGGAATTATACGTACGGTGAAAACGAAGTTGTAGCCACGTTTGAGAACCTGCAAGAGGAATTGAGTTCTTCTCCACATCATCTTGATGAAATCCTGAGACATGTAAATTTTCTCACCTTCGAAATCAACACCGTCTGTTTGCAATCTGAAGCAGTTGAGGTTGAGAAAGATGCATCGATCATAGGCAATTTGGTCAACAGCAACTAAGAGAATGTGATGAATGAGTGACCTTGTTCCCTCTCCAACCCAAAAACTGCTCAGAAATATATCAAGCATGCTGCTCTCACTCTCCACATAAGCCTTGTTCACTATGGCAATCATCACTGTTTTGTTTCCCATTGAACCTTTTGCCAAAGCAGAACCAAGGCTATCTCCATCTGCTTCAACGTTGGTGGTGGTCTACAACATGGAAGGAAAGTTAGAATGATGAAAACTATACATATTTAGGGTTTGAAATATCAGCTAGATTGTAAAGATTACCCATGTGCATGTGCATGTGCATGATTTGTTTTGATGAAAACAGAAAACAAAAAATGGGTGATTTGAATGAACTTACAAGATTTGATTGGTTGCAGAGTGGTTCCTTTTGGAATAGAATGACTTGGTTGGTGAAATAGGATGAGCTGTGGTAGAGCAATATAACCCCAATGAACACCAATGACACTGCTGCAAAACTCACAACAGGATTCTCCATCACTCTCATTTTCTCTTTCATTGTTCACAAAACCAATCTTGAGAAGCTAGAAAGAGATAACTAGTTCTGAACTTTCACGTGTTAGGTCACTTCAACCAACAAGTTCTGAACTTTTTTTTATTATTTATAACTTTTTGTTTGCGTTTATTTAAGGGTAATGAGTAACGTAAACCCCAATTTACCAAACCGACTAATGACACCCGCTGACCTGGCTATTTTTAAGGAAGAGAAGAGATTGTTGAGTTGGAGTTAACTGAGAAAAAAAACAATCAGTCTAGGGTACATGGGAAATAGAGAAGACAACAATCGTTCTTTCAGGTAGCAATTAAGAACATACTCACCGGATCCACCGTTTCCGTTTCATTGATGAAAAAAATTGAGTTAATTGAAACATGTAAAAGGATGTGTTTTTCTCGTTCTAAATAGTTTGAGACGGGGCATGAATAATGTAATTCCTGTTCCCATTTTATTTCGTTTTTGTTTAACCTCTTTTTTATATTTAAATTTAAATCTTAAAATTTTAATATTTTTAAAATATTTTATTTTCTTTCTTATTTCATATATAATATCATTTTTTTATATTTTATTAATTTTACTTTTTTTTCTCACCTTTTACTTTATCTTTTTTCATTTTTTTAATAAATTCGTTTATTATATTATTTTCTTTTTTTTATTTTGTCTTTGTCACACTTTCTTAATTTCTATTTTTTAATTTTTTTTTAATTTTTAGATAAATCCGTTTATTATATTATTTTTTTTCTTATTTTATTTTTGTCACATATTTTAATCTCTTCCATTAATTTGATTTTTAAATTTTTTTAATAAATTTAATAAATACAAAATTAATTTTTCTTTTTCTAAATATTCTATATCAATAACTAATGTTATTTTATTTTTAATTTATCTTTATTATATTTTATTATGTTTTATATTTTTTGGATTTAATTATTTTTATTTATTATATATCAAATTTTTTAATAAAATTAATTATATTTTAAAAGATTAAATTAAAATAATTAAATTAGAATAAATTTATTAAATATTTTTTCATAAATTATATATTTCATATTTATAAATATAATTTTACATTTATAAATATTTTAAAATGACAACTTAAAAAATTATTAATTTATATATGTAATTAAATATTTAAATATAATATTATAATATATATACATATATATATATATATATATATATTATTGTTATTATAATAATAAGTATTTTAAATCTATATAAAAAATAATTTAATTTTTTTTCATATATTTTAATATAAATATAATAAATTAAAATATATATTTAATTATTAATAATAATTAAAAATTGTAAAATTATAAATATTTATTTTTATAAAATACATTAATAAAATATTTAAATTAATTTATTATATGTATAATTATTATTTAAAAATAATATGAAATGAAAAAGCATCCAATAAAGAAACCCAAAACCAAGGACTTTTTTTCATAAATAATACTATTTTAAAAAATATTTTCCAAAATAACACATCCGGGACATTATTTACCCAACTAGTATCTGTCATCGTTCATGATACTCTCGCTCAAGCGCGAAATGCATCGCTTGAGCAAGGAGACCTGAAACTTAAGGGTTTTGTGGGGTTTAGGTTCGCTCGAACGAGAAGTTCTCTCGCTCAAGTGAGAAATTCATCGCTTGAGCGAGGAGACCTGAAACTAATGGGTAATCTCGGGTGTTTTCTCACTCAAGCGATAGGTAATTTCGCTCAAACGAGAACTGATTGAAATATGTGGTGACCCAAGTTGCATTATGTGGCTAATTACGTCGGACCTTTAGCCTGTGATCAATTTTCGCTCAAGCTGTTAGAAATAATAGGCTGAGATCAAGAGGGGGGGTGAATTGATCTTTGAAAGATTTTCGCAAATTACAGATTATCTATTTCAAAGATTAAGATTTCTGATCAATTCTTAAATCAAACAAAGCAAAAAATCAAAGTAAAGGCAGTGGCAAAATTAAAGAGAGAAAGGTTTAGAAAGATACAACCAAGATTTATACTGGTTCACCCAATCCCAGGGCTACGTCCAGTTTCCAGTCAAATTCCAACTGGGTTCCACTAGATTGAATCTTTTACAGATTACAATTTCAATCACACACCCAATCTACCACAAGAACCAAAATTCCAGTCCTTGCACCTAAACCTTCACCAAGAACCAACTTCCAGTTCTTGACCAACCCTGCAGCCAAATTCCAGCCACAGAAATCAGTGCCCACACTTCCAGGCACACACAATATAGAAAAGAAAAGTAAAGAAACAAAGAGAAGAAACTAGAACACCCAAACCAGGTTTATGCAGCTCTGCAGAATAAGTTTCTTCACCAAAAAAATGCAAAAATTGCCTCAAGAAAGAACTTCTAAAAACTTCACAAAACTTGCACGATTCTCTCTTGAAAGTAGCACTTATGATTGCTTGATTGATTGCCAAAAGATGTATATTAAAATGTCCAAGCAATTCTGTTTATATAGAAGATTTTCCAAACTGCTGGTTTATTTAATCTGTTAAAATAATCTTTTAATCTGTTAAAAGTCTTGTTTTAATCTGTTAAAACTTCTTTTAATCTGTTAAAATGTTCTTGATCATTTTCCAGATTTGTTTTAACTGATACGACAACGTTTATATCAATTAAAACTCTTTGTAAAATATCCTTCAAATTGTTTTAATCGATTGTTTCGCCTTTTAATCGATTAAAAAACTGCTAAAGGTTTTCATAAAACTTTCTAAATGATTTTAACTGATAACAATCTGTTTTAATCGATTAAAATACTTTGAAAAAAATTCACTTAGTTATTTTAATCGATTGAATCGCATTTTAATCGATTAGAATTCTGTAAAAAGATTTCATAAAACTTTCTAAGTAATTTTAACTGATAATATACTTGTTTTAATCGATTAAAACATTATGGAAAAATCTCTTAGTTGTTTTAATCGATTATTTTACATTTGTATCGATTAAAATACTAACAGAACAACTTTCAAAACACTTCAAGTTATTTTAATCGATTATTTCGAGTTTGTATCGATTAAAATTCTGCAGAACACTTTTCAAAATATTCTAAGTCATTTTAATCGATTATATCAATTCTATATCAGTTAAAATACTAGCAGAAGGTTTTCAAAATTCCTTCTAATGAAAAAAATCGATTATTTTGAAAACATATCAGTTAAAAACATGTTACAAAAGTGTTAAGAACATTTTAACTGATAAGGCTCATAAAATATCAGTTAAAACATTTACTTAAAAACCATTTAACAAAATACTTTGTTTTTAACAGTTTAAACACGTTTTAGAGGCATTTGCAAAATCTTTTTAAATGAAGAAACCTCATGCAGTAGAGAGATAAAAATGATTATACCTAAGTAAAGATGCAGACTCACTAATCACTCTATCCTTTTATCTAAGTGACCTTTGACTGCAACATAGTAGCCTTTGACTTCATTTTGACTTCATCAAATCAACAAGATCTTTGTTTAAGTGATTCAATAAGATCTTCATCTCTTTCACAAGTGATGAATGATTTCACTCGAGTGAGAAGTGATTGGCTAACTTAACGCCTGTGGTCAATTCTCGCTCAAGCGAGAAATTCATCGCATGAGCCATAAAACTTATAATCGATTATAATTTAAATTAATCAATCATAATTTTAAAATATTCAAATATTTAAAATTATAATCGATTATTTTTCTCTCGCTCAAGCGAGAAATCCATCACTTAAGCGAGTATATCTAAAACTAATGGGTAATGTTGGGTCAATTCTCGCTTAAGCGATGGGTAATTTCGCTCGAGCAAGAAGTGATTGACTAACTTAACGCTCGTGGTCAATTCTTGCTCAAGCGAGAAATCCATCGCTTGAACGAGAAAATTTATAATCGATTATAATTTAAACTAATCGATCATAATTTTAAAATAATCAAATATTTAAAATTATGATCGATTATTTCTCTCTCACTCAAGCGAGAAATCCATCATTTGAGCGAGGAGACCTGAAACTAATGGGTAATCTCAGGTATTTTTTCGTTCAAGCGATGTGTAATTTCGCTTGAGCGAGAACTAATTGAAATGTGTGGTGACCCAAGTTGTATTATGTGGCTAACTGCGTGGGAGCTTTAGCCTGTGGTCAACTCTCGCTCAAGCGAGAAATCCATCTGTAACTATTTATAATCGATTATAAGCTAAACTAATCGATTATAATTTTAAAATAATCGAATCTTATATCTTCACTAGTCAACTTAAGCCTTTTATAATAATTGTTTCATAAAACCTGCAAAGACTTATTTAATTATTTTCGTATTCAAAAATTTGTCCTTGATAATTTTAAGTTATACACTCCCTAGACTACAAATTGCAACCTTGTCAGCATATCTTCGATTTATCCATGAACAAGATTGAACAGCAAAAGGACTAAAGTGAAAGATATTAACAATTCATGCAACAAACCAATATTCCTATTATGATTTGTTGCCAATATAGTTATCCTTATTGTAAGAACAGATGAGCCAATGAGTTACTACATTATAGGTAATCCCCACTCTGCAAAGAAGAAATTTTATTAATTAAAAAACTCCTAAGTTCCATACATTGGGGCATTTCTTAACTAACACAATTTAATGATGCGAAGTAGATGCACGTGCAACATTGAGGCATGTTCTTCTGCTATGGCCAGGGGTATGACAATATGAACATCTTTTAATCCTACTTTGATTTTCTGTAATATCCATCTCAGTTCTTATACGACTTGATTTTGGTCGACCTTTTGAAGTTCTTTTCATTTTTGGATTTGCACACAAAGTAGGTCCTGTGTATGTTGGCTAATATTCTTCATTTCGCAACAACCCAAATTGTGTTTCGTATACCTTTGAAACTTGTTGTAAGGTATACACTGGATGAATGTAGTTGTTGACGTCATGGTGTGCATGCTTGCATGCAGCAAGAACATGTGAACAAGACATGTGAAATTTTCTGGAATTTTCCACAGTC